CAAGGTAATCTTCATAAGTGACCATTTGAAAATCAAATTTTCCAAAGACCAAATATGTAAACTTCAAGAACATATCTCAAAGCCTATAAGATTTCTTGTCATATATAAGAAAATCTTTAGTAAAACTTCACTCAATTCTTGATTCAACTCTCGAAAATTAAGGTTTTAAACACAAGTCAAAGACTTCAACCCTTAAAGTTGGCACAATTCAACTTCAAAGACCTTTAGACATTTGATACCAAAAATTGACATCACTAAAATTCATTCTTCATCAAATGATAAAGAAAGTTTTGAAACTCAAGTTAAGAATCATGGAAAGTCCAATGATAGGAAGATCCACTAATTAGACTCATTCTCAAAGTATAAGACTCGAGAAAACAAAAGAAACCGACATTTGTTATTTTTTTTTTGAAAATCTTTTGACACAAAGATTTAAACAAAACAAAATAATCAAAAAGGAGCGAAACTCTATGAAATTCCCATTGATTGAAAATCCATAAATTCCATTTTATTCATTAGATTCAAAGGAGAATCAACAAGAAGGAAGGCTTTTTCATTTATACTTTATGTAGAAAGTACAAAATCACTAAGCTTCACCTTTCAAAGAATAGATCCAAGATATTTACAGCAAGATAAACTCTTAAACCCTACTCATGTAAAGACATCTCTTTAGAAAGAAAAGGCTATCTCGAGCAAGAAGCTCTTCTTTGGCATCAATTCTCTCCTTAAAGATTCGACACATAAGATCCACTAAATTGCTCATAGGAGAAACAGTTCTCTACTTGCAAATCAAGGATAAATTTCAAAATGTAGCGCCCACTTTGACTAGATACCAATGTACCATCATCAAGCTCTCGCATAGACCTCAAAATAATACCACAAGATCAAACAAATGTGTAAGAAGTCTCGCACAACCACACAAAAGACAAGATCAATTTTGAACACGTAGTTTTCACAAGAATTTGATTTATTTTTCAAAACCCATTCTGCAACAAGAAGGAACCTTGAAACAAATAAAGATAGTACTACTCCTTAGTAGCACAAAGCTCGATTACCACCAAGAAACGGATTCCGTGGTAACTCAAGATATTCTCAAAACCAAGAACTATGAAGTCCTCAATCAAGAAGAAATCTCTCGAAAATCAAACTGATACTAAAAATTGATATGATTGTATCATCACTTAGATAGTTCAAGCTCTGATACCAGAAACTGATAGCAATCTCGTAGATGAAGCAAATTTTGTTAATGCAACCCTCAAACAAGAAAGTACGAAGATAAGTTGTCTATCCCGTGAAACTCAAAAGAGTGTAGAAAATTCACTGTAAGACGATCGTTTATCTAAGGATTTCTATCTCTTAACTCAAACCAAGCAAAGAACATATTATCCATGAAAGATTCGAATTAAACAACAAACCACACTAAGAATAGTAAGGACACCATTCAATATACCCGATCAGTCATCGTTCAAGAGACTCAAGAAAGGTAGGAGCAAACAATGCTCAACTATGAAGGAATACTATTGATTGGTAATCTCCATAACCAACAAAGATATGCAACACATACACTATCTCAAAATGCTTATGCCAAATCACAACTCATCCAACAAAAAGTAGGACAAACCCCACAAAGAAACTCATGAACACACACATCATGAATTCGAAAACCATAGCCAAAAGAAAGGCTCAACTCTCGAACTACTAGAAGTAGTATAAAAATAAGAAGTTTAGTTTTAAAACAATTCTATCAAGAAGCATAGTTGAAAAAGAACGGTTTCTGCAAGATCAAAAGATCCAAGACAAGATGAAAACCCTCTTAGTTAAATCATATTTGACACGAGAAATAGACACACCATTTAACAAAAATTCCTCACAGGAAAAACTCTCATTAGAGAAGACTCAAAATGACAACACATGGGTGCTTTAACTTTCGGCCATACCCCCCCTATTTATAGGCTAGCAATTTCGGCCAAAGCACCAAAAAAGAAGACCAACTAGGACTCTCTAATCTTATCTCACACAGGAGTAGAAGTAGAAGAGTATTTGATCTCTTTGACTCTATCTAAAATCTAGAAAACCTTATCTAAATGACTTATCCTCAAATAGGATAATACTTAAAAGGAATCTAAGACTCCTAATCAAAACACTCTAGTTTAATTCAGTCCACATGACTTATTTAACTAGATAAAATTCGAAAATTAAACTCCTAGACTAGATAATACTCTAAATCCGAAATTCAGCTCCAAATATTGAAGTAAAATGTCTTGAACGCCCTTCCAAAAGTTGAATATTGGTCTTGGGCCCCTCAAGTTATAGATAACTCCAATTTACTCCCATACTTGTAGAATTCTCTTTATTGACTCTAAAAGAATGGAAAAACACTTGAAACAATTGAGATAGTTTGCAACCTATCCAATTGTGTAGAAATGGACTCAATCTTGAACACTTTGATCAAATAGGCAGTCCATTCAAGAACCTAAATGATTCTTCTCTCTAGCTTGATCAATGATCTTCATGGAGCACCTAGAGTCAAACTCCCTTGATACTCTTGAGCACTTATTTCCATGAGTGAATCATCTCCTTTGGTTTGAACCCCAAAGTTAATGACATTCTCATCATCTTGATCATAGCTCTCTTGAACTAACTCCCTATCATATAGGTAGTCAAGATCCATCATTTCTTCCTTAATTGGCCCGCAAAGTAAACTTGGAATTCCAAAACTAGAATGAAGGGCTAGCTCATTCCCCTCACTAGGAGAATCACCATGGAAGGCTATATGATTCTCATCAGGTACAAAGCGAGGTTGGTGGCAAAGGGATATACACAGGTGGAAGGTGAAGATTTCACTGAGATCTTCTCACCTGTTGCAAAGGCTGTGATAGTCAGGATACTGATAGCTTTTGCAGCTTGCAAAGGATGGTGCTTAGAGCAAATGGACGTGAATAACGCCTTTCTTCATGGTTCTTTGGATGAGGAGGTATACATGTTACCGCCTCCTAGTTATGATTCAGCTCAGAAAGGTCAAGTGTGCAGGTTGAAAAAGTCTATCTATGGTTTGAAACAGGCTTCCAAGATGTGGAACACTACTTTAACTGATGCTTTGGTAAGTTATGGTTTCAAACAATCTCCGAATGATCACTGTCTATTCATCTTTCATGATCACCAAGTTAGTATGCTTCTGCTAGTCTATGTTGATGACATCTTGGTCACTGGATCTCATGAAGATGAAGTAATCAAATTTAAACACTATTTGGATGCCAAGTTTACAATTAAAGATCTTGGATCTGCACGTTATTTTCTTGGGACGGAATTGGCAAGATCCACTGAAGGTATTTTCATCAGTCAGAACAAGTATGTTCTTGATCTTCTCAGAGATGCTGGCATGCTAGACTGTACACCCATTGATACTCCTTTGCCTCCTGACTTGCGTTTTCCTGAAGAATCTAAAGATCCAACTCCTCTTTTTGATGATCCAGCTCCTTATAGAAGGTTAATTGGGAAACTGTTATACCTTAACTACACCAGACTAGACATCACTCGTTTCGTGCTACAATTGAGTCAGTTTGTGCACGTACCTCATGAATCACATTGGCAGGCAGCAATATATGTATTACGGTATCTGTCAGGATGTCCTTAGCGAGGTTTGTTTTACTCTCATCAATCAACTTTTGACATCACTGCATACAGTGATGCAGATTGGGGTATGTGCAAGGCTAGTAGAAGGTCCCTGAGTGGATACTGTATTTTTCTTGGCACAAATCTGGTTTCCTGAAAGAAAAGAAGGAAGGGACCATCTCCTGTTCTACTGCTGAATCAGAATACAGGGCTACGGCTTTTGCTGTAAGAGAATTGAAATGGATCAGCTATATTCTCTATGATTTAGCCATCTCAGTCTCTCTTCCTATTCCTTTCCATTGTGACAATCAGGCTGCTCTGTATATCACTAAAAACCCAGTCTTCCATGAACGAACAAAGTACATCGAGATAGATTGTCACATGGTCAGGGAGCAATACAAAGCTGGTCTTATTGATCCTTTGCATATTTTCTCCCGAGACAACTTAGCTGATTTCTTTACCAAGCCTCTTGCTGTTTCAGTTTTCCATAAGATTTTATCCAACCTCAGCATGTGGTTACCTTCCCGGGCTAAGCTTGAGGGGGAGATGTTGAAGTATTTGCATAAAGCAAATTTCAACAGCAAAAGGATGATGTCAACAGTTGACCTTTCAGCTACCAAATCATGCAAAATGTATGTTCTGCCTGTTATCGAAGCTGTGTCACCTACAATGGCTGAAGGAATGACTGTGATCCAACATTCGTCACCAACACGCTTTTAGAATAACCGCCAAAGGCAACTTGATGATTAGCGGGATGATCCAGTTAGAAAAAGGAAGGATCGGGAACCTCCTTGAGTCCTTATGTTGCAATAGTCATGATTTGATCATACTGAATATTCTAGATTTTGTACTGATGATGTAATTAGAAAAGTTTAGAATAGAATTAGTATAAAAGCAGCACTAGGGACTTCATATGGTTAACTTAATCAATATACAGAAAAATCCAGAAAGAAATGGCTTCCTTTAGCTTCTTGTTCAAGCTTTCTTCATTTTAGTTTTCATCAACTTCATTTTTCGTTTGAGTTACGGTCATTAGGAAAAAACCAAATTCTTTGGTGTTAGAATTAAATATTATTCTTTTTATCTCAAATTTATTAGCAATTGAGATTCTTTTAATTTAAAACTAAAAATCAAAACTGAACAATAATTTTGATATTTGCCCCTAACTATCAATATCTAAATTCATGACCATCATAATCTTATTAAAAAACTCGCTTTCCTTAGCGGATTAGCTAAAGAGCCAACATATGAGCTTCATGTTTAGGAGTTTTTTTTCTTTTTCTTTTGGTCTGCTGTTAAAAATACACTTTAAAACTTTCCAATTATCATTCTAATATTTTCTTTTTTACGCCAATTTGAACAGAAAGGAAAGGAGGGAAAGCTCAAACATGGCGGCAACTATTGACGAAGCCATGGATTCCCTTCTCCTGGACTTCGATCAAATCTACAATGTAAGTGTTCAATCGAAATACTATGTGAAATTGCTACAACCAAATTCGCTCAGATCTTGAATGGGTTCCCTCGTTTTTTTCCCTTTTTTTTTGGCTTATTTTTTGGTCTGGTTTTCGGAAATGGATCTGAATAATAGGATTTCAAGAATGGAGTTTCAGAGAACCAATCATTGCGAGGGAATTGCATTGCGGAGGGGAAGAAGCGAGAAGCGCTTGAATCCACCGTCAGTAACCTTCAATCAGGTCACTGATCCTCTTGTTCTGCTTCTTCAATTTCCAGTAATTGTTTTCAATCGCATTTTTCCTAATTTTGTGGAGTATAATTTTGTTCAGTTTGAAATCAATAGTGTTCAATGGAAAGATTGTGCTTATCGGAGAATTGTTTCCTGGGCCATTTTTATATGTTAATGTTGAAATCCACATCCAAGCTCTGTGTAGTTGTGAAATTAACTGGAATATTGCCACCGTTTTGCTGTTGTAATTTGCACTAAAATTGAAACAGTGATTCTGTTTAATGAAATTGAGTGTGAATTTATCGGAGAATCGATTTTATACTTGCAGAAAACGAGAGGCTTGCACGATTGTATACAGAATCTCTTGAGAAATTAGCTGACAAGGTTTTGCAAATTGATTCATGGTTCCGTTTTTTTGCTTGAAATCTAACCATATGAGTTACATATGGGACTTTAAGTATGGTTCTCTTCTAATAATCCTCTGAACTGCTGTTTTGTTTTGTGCGGACATCAGATTGAACTGCGTACCAGTTACCAAACCATGAAAGAGGAGCTAAAACGACTGAATGATGAGCATTTGCGCAAAGATACCGTAAGTTGTTTTCTGTTCCAAAATGATCTATTTAGGTTGTCTTGCTAGGGAGAAGCACATTCGAATCTCGTCTGTTGTTTCTATTCACCTATTAGAGGACCTAGGGCTAGCTTTTGATGTCAGTAGGGGCAATAATTGATTAGTAATATGACGTCAATCTGTATAGATCTGTTGACTCTATTTCATTTGAGCTGAAACTGGCTTACTTTTGTTTTAAATTCTGGTCATCCGGTTCTGGCCAGCCTTGAGGGTTGAATGTCCTTGGGCCTCTTATGTTTATGTTACATTTACATTATGGTCAACTAACCTGTAGTTGGAATCTCTGGCAGGAATACCGTAATACCATGGAAATGCTTAAACAGAATCATGCTAGAAAAATCGAACAATTGGAATCACAAATCAGGTTTCTATAAAAGATTCAACAGACAAGTTTTGCTGAATGGATTCTTTTTCCTGGCTGAGGTCTCTATTGCTTTTAAAACTAGGGGATACCACGATCAGAAGGTGGAAAATGAAGCAGCAATGAATCAAATCTGCCAAGATTTGGCTGGGCACAGGAACCATGTGGAGTTTTTAACGAGAAGATTGGAAAACGTTTCTTCCGAATTAGAATCCAGATGTGATGTCCTCATTGCCTTTTCAGAATTTGTAATTTTCAGATTTAGAGCTCTTTACAGTAGTTCTAACTATACTACATTGTCATTTACAGATCATGATGAGATTCAGGGTTTGAAGGACTGCATCCTGATTGAAAGAGCAGAAAAGGAGGACATAACCAAGCGGCTAGAGGATCTGGAGAAAGAATGTGCGCACTTGACTACTTTGACAATCACTTTATTGCTTTCATAGTGGCATGCAAACTTTGTCAGATTTGATGTCTTGACGAAAAAATATTTATGAGAACAAATTGATGATCGCGAGTTGGTTGTTGTGCAGTGCTTATCAGAAGATCGAACCAGGCAGAACACCATCACGACTCTATTTCCAACCAGCATGTGGAAACACTCAAACAGAAGGTTATGAAGCTAAGAAAGGAGAATGAAGTCCTCAAAAGGCAGCTACATAACAGTAGGTAAGTGTAATGGTTCCATTTTCCACCTTGTAGTTGTAGGGAAACCAATAGGAACAAAGTTACTTCTTGTTTGTTGTATTTACTATGATGTCTTCAATCTTCACGGAGTCATCATTGCTTAAGCAATGGACAGAAATGGAGGGAAAGGTAAGGGACTAATCTTAGTCCTCCGCCCACTCATGTGTATTGCTTTTATTACAGTAACCAAATAATGTAATTTATAATCGAATTGATACATTTTATACTAAAGTACTGATAAAGAAAAAGGAGTGAAAAATTGAGTTCAACATAAAATACTCCCTTGCATGTGAATCCTCTTCTAAGCTTGGAATTATGTGTGTCCATCCTGATTTTGTATCACTTGCGCCATCGGTACTAGCTACTAGCAAAGAAGCCTTTTGTGGCGCACAATTTGTGCCGCAAAGACTGAAAAGTGTCGGATGGGTCGCAAAACCGCGTTGCTGCATAAAATGCGGCATACTTTTTGGCCACGCAAATAGTGAGGTACATTTGCCGACACGATTTCAAAATGTGCTGCAAGCACATATGACAATTATGCGTCATTGCAGCACATTTTGACAATTATGCATCAATGTATAGCATACCGGATGAAATGTGCGACACATGTAGTGTCAACCTACCAATGTGAGCGTAGAATTGCACCATTAGTTTGTCTTATGAAATAATGACGCACAGATATGATGTAACAAATTTAGATGTCATATAATCATTTATAGCTTTTGATGTCATCCGCTTCCATGAAACCACCTTCAGGAACTAAGGATTGTCGAAAGCGACTCCTCTAATAAGAGTGCCTTAATGTGGCCTCTCTGGGTAAATGTATAAGGCTCCTTCTGTCACCAGAGCTGGGCAGGTGTTCTTTTTTCACGGCAAAACTGTTGATTTAAAGAATGTAGTTCCATATTACCATACATACGATATTTTTGTATCGACCGTTTACTGATTAAACATTGGCAGGGCATAGTTACCGCCTACTTAGCAAAAAAGGAAGCTCAGGAACAGTTTTGGATATGTCAAAGTCATGTTCTTAAAGGATTTCCTCAAGAGAAAATTCCTTGACGATGTCATGTTGGCCGCTAAGATCGAACCACGACAATTTGTAAGGATGAGTATCTATAAGTTTTCAATTTGTTTTCTAATTAGAGTTCATTTTGTGGTAAGAGAGGCTAGTTTTGTGTAGGGAGGATGAACCTAAGAGAGACCATTCTTGCTTTGGCATTTATTATGATGCCTTTTGATAATATTCTGCCTAATGAACAATGGAACGAAAATGATATTTATTCCCTGACTTCATCTTAAATATATTTTCATCTTAAATATAATTTTTGGCTCTTTAGTTTTTTCATAGCTATCTATCTACCAACCTATACTGATTTAAAGTCAAAAGAATTTGAATATATTTTTTAAAATTCAAGTCTTAAGTTCAGGAAATATTTAAATCAGTTTAAGCAGTTATAATTTCTTCATTTTCTTCTTTTTGATTGATACTCCAAATATTCAATCGAAAGTCATGTTCAAGAAATAGACTTGACAACAACAACAACAACAACAAGCCTTTTTCCCACTAGGTGGGGTCGGCTATATGGATCATATGTCGCCATCGTGTACGGTCGGTGCACAACTCATCGGACAAATTTAAAAATTTCAAATCGTTTTTTATAGTTTCTTTCCATGTTTCTTAGGTCTACTCCTACCCCTTTTAATTTGAAATCTTGATTCTATAGCCTCTACCCTCCTAACCGGAGCCTCTACCGGTCTCCTACGCACATGCCCAAACCATCTTAAACGGTTTTCTCTTATTTTTTCGTCTATTGGAGCTACCCCTACTTTCTCTCTAATATCATCATTTCTAATCCTATCTAGTCTAGTATGCCCACACATCCATCTTAACATTCTCATCTCAGCTACTTTCATTTTTTGCTCATTTTCATATTTAGTGGCCCAACACTCGGATCCATAAAGCATCGCCGGTCGAATGGCCGTTCTATAGAACTTACCTTTCAAACTCAATGGTACTTTACGATCACAAAGTATTGACGAGGCACTACGCCATTTATTCCACCCGGTTTGGATTCTATGTGTTACATCTTTATCAATATTTTCATTTTCTTCTATAATAGATCCTAAATATTTAAAACTTTTAGATTTGTTCACTTCATGTTCTCCTATCTTAACATTTACCATACTATTACTCCTACGGTTACTAAAATGACATTCCATATATTCCGTTTTAGCCCTACTAATTGTAAAACCTTTAGATTCTAACGCCCCCTTCCAAGTCTCTAACTTGGCATTAACCCCCTCCCTTGTTTCATCTATTAGAACTATGTCATCCGCAAATAACATGCATTCGGGGATGGCAACTTGCAAGTGATTACTGATTTCATCAATTACTAACGCAAAAAGATACGGGCTCAACGTCGATCCTTGATGCAAACCCACTTTGATGGGAAACTCTCCCGAAATTCCTACGGGAGTCCTCACACAAGTTGTTGCATTATCATACATGTCTTTTATTATTTCTATATATCCTACTCTCACTCCCCTCTTTTCTAACACCCTCCACATTACATCTCTACTAACCCTATCATATGCCTTTCAAGGTCAATGAAAACCATGTGTAAATCTTGTTTTCTCTCTTTAAAATGCTCACATAATCTTCTTAATAAATGTATAACTTCCATTGTTGATCTTCCGGGCATAAAGCCAAATTGGTTTTTCTGACTACTTTTAAGACACCGAGACCACTACAGTGTGGAATTAATATGTATCTCAAGAAATAGACTTGAGATGCATATTAATTCCACACTGTAGTGGTCTCGGTGTCTTAAAAGTAGTCAGGACTCTTTAAACTACATTCGTAAAATTGTAAAGGTAAACTTTTCACTTTTCAGACTCATAAAATTAAATAGTTTAGCCTAACACTAATGTGCGTCTTTGAGACCGGAAATAAATTCCTATCACCCGAAATGGCAAAAAGACTTCTTTCTGGGGAGTAAACTCTTGGTTAGTTGGGGAGAACTGTTGCCTCTAGAATGACTTCCGTTTCTTCTTGCCAGTTTCAGCAATGTAGTTCTGAGGATCAACCTTCCCAGCAGTTTTTTTCCCAAACTCCTTTGCCTTATTCTGCATCATAACCAGGAAGAGTATATGGTCAAACAATGCTCAAATGTAAAATGATATAATCAGCTGGTACAGGTTATTTACTTTCACTGACAACGCCATGGAAGAAACATCATTGTCCTTGTCACCCGAGTGAGAACCAGAATCATTTTTCTTAGGTTCCTGCACAGCAACAAACAGCAATTCAGTAGGGTGATTACTCGTTGTGTTTGGACTAAAAGTAAATAACCCAGCAGCAGGATCAAACCTCAGGAGGAACGAAGGCCTCTTCCCGTTTCCTTTTATTCTCAGCTGTCTTTTCCACCTGTTTTTCTAGCTTCTCTTGCGACTTTCTGGCAGATCTCTTCTTATCACTCAAGAAATATTCACCAGTCTCCAGTTGTTTATCAACCTGAAATTAAAAAAAAAAAATTAATAATAATAATAAATAATAAATAAATAAAAAATCAATCAAGAAGAATATATAAACTGAACACTGTCAAGGACTTCAAACGATTAGAGTGTGAAAACCCCAATGATATATTAGATCAAAAGGGGCTTTGTATCAGTAATTTTTTGCAACTAATAAACTTTTACCACAAAGTGCGAGGAACATTCATAAAGCCCACTACCTCTATCTAGATTGCTTGATCATTTTGTGTTTAATAAACTAATCTAGACAAAACATTCTTTTTCAAGACAAGAAAATGGTAATTCTCAACAATCTTGCTTTAACCACTCTACTGACCTTACTAGGTTGCTGCGGAGGAGGGAAAGGAGTATAAGGTTTCTTCTCCTTAGATTTAACTTTCTTCTGTTTCACATTCTTCCTGCAAAAATGTGGAAGAAACATTGTTTAACCTTATTGTCCAGCATAGAATAGAGAGTCAGCTGAATTTTAACTTATAGATGCTTTACTTCTTAAAAGTAGGAAGGAATCTGTCCCAGTTCTCATTTGCTAGTGCTGGATCTTTTGCGAGCTCTCTCCTCAACATAAGGATCTAGCATAGAAGCAAAGGACAATACATATGATCATATTTTCAAGTCTGAACTAAAATATATAGCCACACAACCAGCAAATTGCCCCTGATAGGTTCAGGAGCCACACCTTGATATGGTATAACGGATGCATTTTGTTCAGGATGCAGTCCTCCACAATCCTCCTTACTTGTTTCAGCCCTTTAAAAGAGCCCATGGCAGCAACAGTATTCCCCTACTCATCAAGAACAATCAGAACTTTAGAACTATGCCTTTTCACTTTGACTAAGAAAAATTTGTATGAAAACAAACTTTAAGAAAGAACATTGACTTTGGTGAAAAACCTGAACGAGGATGTAGCAACCAGTCAAAATCTCCAGTGCCTAAATCACAATTTTTTGTCAGCAACATGGTTAGAATGCCTTCACGGCCAAGAAATACAAATGAAAACAATAGATCATTCTTTAATTGCTAACCTTCAAAGTAGAAGAATTTGGGCCTACTAGATGTTGCCTACGCTTGACAAACCGTTCCTGCATAATATTATTGAAAGGAAAGAGATTAACTCTAGAATTGGAGATAAATGACACAGATAATGACATTTCTCAAGGTTGGAGTCCCAATTTCCACAAAACTCTTAAAGTTTCCTCATTTCCCCGGCCCCTTGGTTATCAAAATTTTTTCCCCCTCGAATGGATTTGCAATTCCTTAAACACCCTTTTCCCTCGACATCGTAATTTTGCACCATTCTCAAGAAGATTCATCTACGATGATACAAAGAATGATGCATAAACTGAAGATCTTCATCCCTAACAAGCCAATGTCCTAAATCAGCTTCAGTTTAAAAGACAAACCTTGTTGCGAACCAGGTTGCCAATCTTGATGATGTCACACTGCATCTCATCATTTAATATCTTGATTGCCTGAAATTTAAAAAGGTTAGGAATGCACTTAGACACAATTGAGAATGGTACAACATTTTCAAAATTTTCGAAGCAGTATTTACATATCAAATCTTAGACATTTTAGTGCGTGGATTCTATGCAAATCAATTTTCCTTAGGACATACATCAATTCACAAAGGAGTTAAACAATAGGAAGCAGTAAACTAGTTAAATGGAGCATTGAATGTTCCATTACCAATTCGAAGCACCAATACACAGTATATATCAATCAGGATCTCATTATAATATTTTTCAAGCTTCCGTCCTGATTATAATTTTTTTTTTTTTTACTTCAGCTCCTAAAAAAAGTCTCCCCAAACCCATCCACCCCCGCCCAAATTAACCGGAGGGAATATTGTGAACCATCAAGACCATATTATTTCACTAGATAACATAAAATTTAAATGACCAAGTTCGGTAGAAATTTATCAAGAGAGCCACAACTAAAATGCTGCTACAAACAAGACAAACAGGATTTTCCTTGATGGAAACGTGAAATTAAGAATAAGGAACCCACAGTTTGAAAACACAATAACAAGCTGCCATACTCTTGACACACACAGGATTTTCCTTTATGAAAACTATAGACAAACTGTTTGAAGGATTTTCCAGCATTAGCAATATTCTGCATGACTGAATATAGAACCGAAGCAATATCTAACTGGGCAAACTGACAAAACAAAATGAATGTGGTGATCATATCCGGTATACCTGAGGAGCAGGAACACTTCGGGACAAAAGTTTAATGAGATCCCTAGCTTTGATTATAATGTAGGGATCCCTAGTTTTCCTAGTGGTAGTAACCGTCATGCTTCCTTCAACCTGATCATTGTATAGCACAAATCAAAATCAACTTAGAAGTAAAACTCTCAGCAGTTAGAAAACTCTGGTCCGGGAACAACACAACTTTCTGAACCAAATGGTTGTGATAAACAATAACTGTTACAACTCTCAAAACAAAACAGAGCACGGAAGCCCTTAACTTCAGGCACCAAATTAACTCTCAAAACAGACCAGGAAAGCCCTCAACTTCAGGCACCAAAGCACAAAGAGAAGTAAATTTTAAAGATTCAGACGAAAACTCACCAAATTGAGCTCACCAGCAACTCCATGCTCCTTCAGAGCCCCTCTCACTACGGGCCAGCATTCTTGCAGATATTTTTCTATGCAAAAGAGGGGGAAAAAAAATAAACACATTATAAAATGGAAATACCAGAAAATCTATAAGTAACAGGAATTCAAAACTGCAAAAGGTAGGGTGGTTCGGGGGGAGAAAAAAAAAAGTACTCCATAAAAGATTATCCATACCTCTGTACTGAGGAAACAGAGTGGAGAAAGAGCTGACTTCGAGCAACCCAGTTTCATTCCAAGAAGGATCAAACTTCTCAATCTTCCAATGATCGATACTCTCATCATCCCAAGGCTTTGGCTTGTCGTGCTTCCCTTTGTGTCTTGGGGGTTTTGGATTTTGCTCCTCCATCTTCTCCTCCTTATTCGTATCCATCACTGCTGTATCCATAGTATTAGCAAAACCCTAGAATCAGAAAAGGGGTTTAGAGACTGGGAGACATAAAGACCGGTGGAGGAGCGGCGTCCAAGAGCAATAAAAAGATACTGGATGGAACAAACGCGACTAGCGCGTACGTGTTTCATATAACAACATAGTGAAAAAAAAAAATTTATTGACGATTTGTTAGTGCAAGCAAATAGTATTTCAACTCTAGTAAAAAAAAACAAAATGACAAATATACATAAAAAGTGAAAAATAAAGGAAATTGTTATTGCCAAAACAACTATTAGGCCCTGCTTTATAAACCAATTCAGCAGTTAAACTTAATTGATTAAGTGCTTAATTGATTGGAACTATTTGATAACTCAATTTCATAACAACTTAATTGGTTAAGAACTTAACTAATTAAAGACTTAAATTTTAAGTGCGTTTGATAACTCAAATTAGGATGTCTTAATAATAAATTAAGAGATTCTGAAATACTAGTATAAATGTGAGCCTAAAAATAAGTGATATATCTATTACTTATGTCTAAACTGAATTATTGAGACGATTTTTTTCCTATTTATTTATGTTTATACTTTTGATGTTTTATCTTGAAATATTTTTATTAATTTTGGTGTTTAGTTATAAATTAAAATTTATATAAATTATTTTTTAATAAATATTTATTTAATATAAAAAATTAAACTACAAATAATTCCATGATATTAATTTTGGTGTTTAGTTATAAATTAAAATTTATATAAATTATTTTTTAATAAATATTAATTTAATATAAAAAATTAAACTACAAATAATTCCATGATAAATATATATTTACCATAAAGATATGATACTTTTTTTTTAAAATAATGATAAAGATAAGATATTATTATTAACTGAAAAATAACTTCAAAATAAACTAAAAGTATTTTTATTATATAATTTTATAATAATACTATTATTTTTATTATCATAGTTTCATATATATCAAATTTTTTTACATAAAATTATAAGTCAAGATATTTTAAATTTCAGTGTTCAGACTTCAGATTTCAGACATTTTATTCAGTTTTTAGATTTTGATCTTTATCAAACAAGACAAACTTAACCAGTTCAGTATTTATGATTCAGTGTTCAGATTTCAAACTTCAGACTCAAATTAAGTTTTATCAAACAGGGCCTTAGTATCCAAAACAAATTGTTGCCTCCCTTCCATAATTGCCCCTTCCAAGTCAATCATACATATGTTATACATCTTGAAACCTACATGACTACACATACAGATCAAATTCAAACAACTTTCAGTCTTCTTCTGCAATTTACTTCTTCCAACAAGCGTGGTGGAAGAAATTCTACTGCTTCATCAGAAGTTATTTAGAACCCATAGAGCTAGTTAAAGCACATCAGCTAGGGTGGATAGATACAGTACAAATTTTACCCATAAATTTTTCCTTTTCTCCAACCTTTCTTTAAAGGATGGAATCGTTACTTTGTTTGATTTTTAACCAGCATGTTAAATTCAAAAGAGACTTCACTAGCTAGATGTATCATATCAAAAGCAGTGAGAAGCAATTTTGCAGCCTCCATATAAAAATATGGCTCTAATGATAAGGAGGTTTCAAACCCGTTTAACTAATTGATTAGAAGTATGTAAATGATTTCTTGTATCAATATGTTTTTACACTTCTTTTTATTGTTTAATAAGTAGGATTTGTCCTCAAAATTATAGTTCTTCACTAGATTACTTGTAATCTATTGAGAGGGTAGGATTTTTCTTATAGTGTTCGTGGTATCTTTCGTATTGTTACTGTGATGTCCGTTGTTTTGTTCTTTGTTTCATACTATGCGGTTCAAGAAGATTCAATCATGATAGATTTATTTAATAGATCTATGATTTGGGGCTCATCAGATAATTAGAGATATGTTCTTGATCAGATTGGTTATCTGGCACGTGATATATCCATCGTTGTATTGGGTAAATCTAGTAAGGTTAATCCATGATAAACACAAAAATAGTATTAAGTTTGATTGTAAGTTGTGTTCTTGTTTCGACTGTATCTTTGATTATCTATAGTGGCTGGACGATTTCCAGTAAAGTAATGTATTATAGTTTTTATTTAAAAAAAAAAACAAAAACAGGTAGATTAATTTTTAAGAGAGAGAAAATGCTAGAAAAAAAGTCACCACAAACTTAGGGAGGGCTAACTATGGAAAGAAGATAACAATTTGTTTTGGGTACTAATTGTTGTTTTGGCAATAACAACTCCCATTTTAGAATGGGTATACCGATAGTAACCGCTTCTTATTATCATACCTAACCCTATAGTAAAACCTACGAACAAACCAAACACCCACTTAATGATTTGAGAGGATGGGAGAGAGAGGCAGTTGAGGAGAGAAATGGAGTAATAAGACTCCCTTTGTTCTAAAATAATTATTCAATGGAGTAGATATACTAGTATTGAATATGAGTGTTGCTCGAATTAAATATAAATTTTGATCACATATATATATATATATTTATATTTATATATATAATAAACTAAAAATGGATGTTTATTAAGTATATATTTAAAAATCTTAATATTTAATTTGTATTTAATAGAGTTTGGTTGGACCCATGTGCGAGTCACGTGTTATCTACAAATACCACCTATCTTTTCTAGTTAACTAAAGTGACGGCTCCCTTCCAACCATAAATGACAGTAATTCCTAATAGAGACTTTTTATGATGATTCGCAACTAACTGCACCCTTTTAACTATCATCCCCAAAAACAACATAAGTTGCCTCAATTTCTTCCCCCTCATTGTTGCGAAACCGAAGTTGTTACATAAAGGAAACGACCGCAATGGAGGAACAGTGGTGGAAATGGGGTGGGCTATCGCATTGTGCTGCAGTTTCGGTGATTTATCAAGGGATATGGTGCCAGAACGATTTGAACACCCAAGAACTCGTCGTTCGCCACTGCTTAGATGTCAACGTCACTGCTCTTAAAGCCGGAAAATCCCATCCGGAAGTTGTTGAACTAGTGGTTTGTGAAGAGGGTTCAGATTGATTATACCTAACCAATGCAAAAAATTTCAAATGGAAGATAAGATGGGGATAGCCAACTCGAACCGTTGGATGTGTTGCTGTCAATAGACATGGAAATTTAGTCACTGCTATTTTCACTGGTTGTTTGGTCAACAAAATCGTTGGTGATAGCGATCCGTGACAAAACCAATCTTAATGAAAGATCAACTTTGCTAAATCGGAAAGACAGAGATTTGTAGGCAGCGGAATTTGGAGAATTCGGATGTATAGACACAAAAATACACGAAAAACACACAAAAGAAAAGATATTTAATCTCACGTGGATCAATTCACGAGTTCAATAGTAGAACAACCCAAATTAAGAATGAAGAGAGCTATTTCTAACCAAGCAGAGACCTCTTAGAAAATTGTGTAGGAAAACCCAATAGATATGAGATCCATAAGCTTAAGAACCAAAATTCAAAAGATCCAATGCTAAAGACACCACTATTAAGTGAACTAAACAAGATAGATAAGTCTAATAATTGTCACAACACATATACAACAACCAAACAAAGAAGTCCTCACAAGAACTCCACGAAAGGAATAAAATCCTAACCAATTTGATTTCACTCAAGAAAATATCAATGACACAAGGTGTGTTGGACAAGAGAAAGTCGGTCCCTATTTATAGAGGGGTTGGTCGAATTTTCTTCCCTAGAAGTAGAGGAAGAACACAACTCTTACCTCTATTCCTATCTCTAAGAATTTGAAATCAAATCAAATTCTAAAGACTCCTAGTTATCTTAAGTGATAAGATAATGAACCTAGACACTTTTACTAGTCTTAAGACATTTAAGACTATGTAGGAATTAATTAAAACTCAAAATACAAAGAGATAATCTCTTAGAAAGATTTCTATGGATAGAATCTCCCTTGAGTTAAAACTCTATCATCATCTTCTTTGTAGAGTGATCTTAGCCATCCATCTTGATGTAGTCTTCATCCAACGGTTGAGTAGACATCAAAAGTTGACTCCTTATTGTAGGAAAACTCGAAAATAAGATAAAAGGAATCATCCCAAATATTATCATTTAAAGAGATACAGTCTTATCTTTCAAAGAGATAAAATTTGAATGATCTCACCCCTAAACTTTAGGGATCTATTCGACCAACATGAGTGTGGCCGGCGGCTCTCCTTGGATTGAGGGCCGAAAATTCCTTCTCTCCAAATGGGCCAAGTCCATTTGGTGTCACTTGCAACAAATTAATAGTCTTGGGCTTGTAATCTTCAAGCTTAATTTCTTCCTTAGCCCATGTAGTAGTAATTAGACTATTAAGTGATTCATCCATCCTCTTGCGTCTAGCACGAGTTATTGGTCCAACAATGTTTGAGAGTGGATCACGGATGTAAGGATTATTCTTTAAAGCAGCATTTTTAGATTCTCCATTAGCATTCACGACCTCAACTTGCTCGTCCTCTCCATTATTGGCAGCAACATGTCCCTCTCCATTAGTGTTAGTTCGATGGTCTCCATCAGTTGGTAGCATTGGGAATTGGCCATTCTAAAATCGCAATTTGGAGTTAGTGATTGAATGGTACAAATAGTTTTCTCCTTTATTGTTCTTCGGGTTGCTAAAGTAGTTTCTTTTGTGGATTTGAAAACTTTTTTCAGATATTGGCAGTAAGTTGTGCTTCTTTTGGTACTTTCTTATTTTTTATGGTTTTGAGTTCTGTCTAGTTACAGAAGGAATAAACAATCACAAGAGAAAGAGATGGGAATAAGTTGTAAGAAACAAGATTTACAGTAACCTGGTGGATGAGAAGCTCTATTGGGCTTTCCACTTGTCTATATTATATAAAATAGTAGAGTTTTCAATCGACATGTGTCGTGCAATGGGATAGCCCAGAGACTTCTCCGCCACTTGTCAAGCTCACGTTTCTCTTATGACACGTATCAATAAAAGATACTCTCCTTCATTAAACCGTTAAAACTTTTTGATAACTTG